CTGCGCGGAGCTCCCCCGCCCAGGGGCTCAACCCCGTGCGGAGACGTGGAGGGGCACCCCAGCGCAGCTGGGCAAACCGGGGCAGACAAAACGGAAAATCCGGGCCCGCTGAGGTCGGGAGCAAAACTGAGCTGCTGGCTCGGCGGATCTGGCAGGCGGGGCTGCTCACACCCATCACACGCCAGGATGGTGGGGGTTTGATGTTTCAAAGGATGGGAAGTATAACTGGCTGTATCTGGTGTCAGATCCAGTCATCCCTTGTTCTGGTACTCGTGGTTCTGTTACGAGTTTCAAGTGTGTAACCTTTTGAATTGTGGGACTTTTCCAGGCACCAAAATTAATCATGCCTTATGGCTTTTAGGTTTCAAGCTATGCTGAAAATACTCAGTGCTGGCCAGCTCATAGGCACACCCTTGTTTAATGCACCATTTGATGCTGTGCGTATGTGAAAAGCCAAATTACAGCCCTGTGTTCTGGTTTTAGTTCAGTAATTTGCATAGGTAGAACCATAGGCACAACAGGCAAGTAAGTTAAGACCCTCACCGTTCCCCCACTGAGATCAGTGGCCTTCTCCCATGAACTGTGCTCGCAAGACGTAAAGCACAGCAGTGGCAGAATAACGTTGTGGTAGGTGGGATTTTAATGTTACATTTCCAGAGAGAATGTTAGTTACTCCAGACCTATGGTACACTCAAGTCAATGGAAAGATCCTTGTTGATTTCACAAATGACTGGTTTTAATTGCTGTCAGTAACAGTTTTACTGGTGTTTTCATATTTTTATTAGCTAATTAAAGGATTTCAGGGTCGTAAAAATCAATAGAAATGTCTGGGGTCAGATTTTCTCTTACAAACGAAAAAAATTATCATCATGGAGACCTATTGTTCGAGTATAGCCATCCACAGCAACAAAACAGTATCTTTTTTTTAGCTAGAAAATGTAATTTACATAGTTTGGCATTTTCAGAATGTGAAATGATGTCTTCTCCAATGTTGTCAACAGGACACGAAATTGAGCACTGGCATAAAATTATTAGGTGGAGAGACTGTAACTACGGGCTTTCTGATTGGAAGTCGGATACAAACAGCAATTTTAAGGTCTGATTCTGTGATCACAAGTGTTTCATTATAGTTTAAATAAATAAATGTATAATTGCATGAATTAGGATTTACAGTTGAAGTCCTTAGTCACAGCAGAGTCACAGTAGAAAACAGTAATTTAAAGCTGGAGTAAAAAGTTATTTATCTTATTACCAGCCACTTGAGTATTAACTAGTCCCAAAGAAGTTAGCCAGAAACTAAGAATACCCCTGCATTCTGAAGCTTCTTGATGTCCTCTGTTAAGGTAGCCATAACTTCCCTTTATTTCTGCCCTGCGTTTGATTTTGTGTGCGACCACATGCATTGCCTGATAAATACCTTCTCACATGTATCCTCTGCATGAATAGATTTCTTCAAGTTCACAGAGAGCCTCCGAGGAGGTGCCAGTATTCTGCGAAGAGCTAATCGTAAGGCAGGAGTACTTGTGTAAACCTGTGCATTTGTGAAAAATTAGATTAGAAGCAGATACTAAGGAAAACTCATTTTTTTAAGAATTTGGATTGTTTATGTGGTTGGATTAGCAGATGGCAAATATGACTCAGTATAAACGTTACATAATTCTTCTTGGGAAAATAAAATCTCAAGACTGTGCTCTAATTGAAAAGATCATCCAGAAAGCTGTTGAAGAACAGTATGGAGAATCGGGATAGAAATATGAATGGAGCAGATGCATGCAGCAGCCAGCAAATTCAGGAAGATTTTATGAATGTAGCGAAGCTCCAAACATATCGCGGTAAACCCATCAGCCTAGAGCCCAACAAAACTGCAAAGGCTAAACAGAGGATTTAGTTTCATTAGCAAACAGAGCAGAAAACAGTTATTCTACCAATTTGAAAAGTAAAAAGGAATTTAAGCAGCACTATTTAATGGAAGGGTCAAACATGTATGAATTCTAAGGGCTACAGAAGCAAAGAATTCAGAACATGGGTTGGTCTGTTTCCAGAGGTGCAATTGATGGTAGACTGTAGTAAGAAGCCAATGTACTGAGACAGAGTTGAATGTAAATGGTCAGACCTGCTAGATTAGGTGGGCTCCTTTGTGTTTCTAGATGTCTTACATTCTTTGTTCCTGGTAATGTCAGGACAACACTGTAGAATGTTAAAAATTATATGTACAATAAATACTCTAACTAGACATAGAAAGTAGAAACATAGCTTTGTAATTTGCAGCAGTTACACGAGAAAAATAATTTGTAAAACAGCCAAGAGATCTTTCAAAACATTGTTTGCTTTTTGAGCAGTGCTGTTCCATGCCACAGCAGAATTTTGATTCTATGATTTTAGTTTTTGTGAAGACATTTTAAGTTATGACCATTGCAGCTGTCAGTGTCTAAGTGGCATCACACTTTCAATCTCAAAATCTCTCGTAACACAACATATGCCTTACCTTCTGTTTTCTTCCATTTTCTAAAGTACCAGAGAAAGCAGTTAGCCTAGCTAGAAATTCTTTAACAGGTTTGTCATTTGAAAGGACTGGGATTGACTGTAATAAGCAGGGACTTTCCTTAATGTCTTTACAGTGCAACTATCACTTGGCTTTGTTCTCATTTCAGGGTGACAACTTCTTGATTTCCTCCTCCATCATCCTCCTTTACTTAAAGGCAAATTAAATGTGTGCTTTCTAACATTCTGTGACTGTCTGCCTCAATTTTCAAGCAGGAGCATGGAAGGGATATGAAAAACTCAGTTGCAAATATTGAAAAACCCCTCAAATCTATAATATTAAAAATAGCTGTGTAGAATAGCAAACATATTAACATCATATTTCAGGACTGTCTATTGTCAATTCTGTCATGTAAAGATATAAGGAAGGTCTAAGATCCCTATTACAAATTCTGAGGGATATTCTGAGAGCTCACTCAAAATGCTGGAAGAAACCACCAATTAGAGCAGTTTGGCAGTGAAAAATAAACTAGCATTGAATAGGTCTAATTATTTTTCTTATTTTTGTAGACCCATGGTAAGCGAGGGACAACGGTTGCAAAGTGCCTGAAAGTTATTTCTCATGCACCTAGGTGACGAGTTTTTCAGTCTTTGTATTGTCTTTTGCTCTATACTGTATATACAGTGTAAAAAATACACAGTGAACTTCAGACGACCATGACTAGCTTTGTGTATGCACTGCTCATCTAGGAGATATCTAAGTATCAGGCTCAGAGGCCAAGTCCAAAGTGGAGGTACCAGGAGCATGCTGAGCTCTTGAGACCAGGCGTGAATGCCCATCGTGTCCTGGTTCCCTGTCAGGGTGAAACCAAGATGAACATCTGTCTTCCTCTGAAGGCCTTCCTCAGTGACAGGCGCAGAAGTCAGATGGACACAGTGGACAGGTCCTCAGCTAGATAACTGAGACACACCACAATACTGAATATGATGCTTAGTTTAGCTCTTGCCACGGAAATATACAAAAGGACTTACATCCTCCTCCATTGTAAAACAGAATTATAGAAACCAGAGGTACTAAACCTAACTTATGAGGAAAATAAAAATACCAAGAGTGCTATGGTTTCAAAAGAGTGCATGAATGTTGGACCCATCAGATTAACTAGAAGCTGAAGTACCATGTAAGGAAAAAGCCATTTTTGGTGAGTTATCCACAACAATCCCATCTCTGACTATACAATTCTGACTAGATCATGTTTTCTGTATTGCTTTGAGGAATGTTGTCATGGTGTAATGGAAAAATACATCCAAGGAAATGGTGCCTTAGTGATGCTGCACAGCAGCAAGACGCTGTCTCAGCATTTGTGCTGACTGACCCCACTACAGCATTCTCACGGATCTCCGAACGAACTGAAGAAGAGCAAGAAATTAAACTATTGTTCTGTCACCCGAACACTGACCTAGAGAGTCATCCAAACATACTGTGGGAAGCGTGCTGCGTTCCCCAGGGGGGCTGTGAGGTCCCACTGTTCGAAAGTCTCAAGTATGTACAGGCTGCAGGTTGTGTCTTCGCTGGAGAGCTGAATCTCCAGAAAACAGTGATGGAATACTACTGACAGTAAGTCAAATCTGTCTGCCGTGCCATTCCCAGTGCAACTGCAATTTTGCTCTCATGGCAGATGCTAA